TTATATTCATATATGAGTTATATATAATTATATGTATACAACTATATTTATATATAGTGATATGCATAATTATATATTATGATAATGTATATGTATGTAGTATAATTTTATATAACAATATGGTACAATATATACAATACAATATACAATATATACAATATACAACATATCACCCTTTGCCCCCTTTACTGGTAGTTTTCTATCGATGTACGATTGGTGGACAACCATTAACGTGGTTCACATGATAAAGCTTAGAGTTAATAGCTGAACACTCTACTGTGAATACGACTGTTAGTTGAGATGGCCATAAAGTGATCTTTGTTGTTGGCAAGTTGGTTAACTATTATGTATTCTAACGATGTAACTCTGTAACCGTGTTAAGTGGCTGTGACAACTTGAAAAGTTCTAAAATGTAATGTGAGTGCGGTATCTCGCTTGACCTTGCTTGATCTTGCAGCAATGGTCCCCAGTCCCGAAACGTGCGGCTTCCCTTGCTATACAAAAGTCTGTTAAATAATGTCTGGATAGACGTTCTACGGTTAGAAATGTTCAAACCACTGATAATTTCCTAGGTGAAACCACATTCCCTTATGCCCCAACCACCCTCTAACGATGTGCTTTATCCTAGAGTAATAAGACTATCCGTTAGAATTAACAGTTGTGAAAATCTACGAAAATTCAAGTGAGCATCATTCATTTAGAAAGGAGCCCCAGAATCTTACAAATATTACCAACCTTATTCTTTGGTGCTTGTAAATGTACAGCCCCGGATGGTTGAAATTAGTCCTGATCAAAACCAGCACAAATGCACAGTTGATGTGAAGTGCGATTGACCATCGAAAGGTACACATTATGTAAGGTTTAAGCAGAATGAGAAGCCCAAAAGTGTGTGCACTCCCGGTTGGATAAAAATGGTCACCGAGTGAACATAGAGTGTCGGCTCTGTTTGAGTGATGAGACAGAAAAACGTGAACGACCAGCACAAGCCTAGAGTAAGGGGAGATTTTTCCAGAGGTGCAATAGAAAATGGTCAAATCCCCAAGATTTTCGAGAATTCGTTCAATAGAACCTATGGCTAATGCGGATGAACTTACGATCCGGTCGGACAATTCGCGCTTTGCAAGCCACCTGACATGCTTGGGCGTCGTCAAACGTATTTTCTGATCCTCCACAGCCACTGTATTGGAAAGGTTCACAGTTGCTTGTGTGAGCATTGAAGAACCAGCGCTGAAGCAGCAGCGGTTGACACTTGTCCTGCTTTGTTTCAGACTTGGAGCAGTTTAGTGGGCGACAGTTACCGACGAGTGGTTGACGTCTACATGGTTCCAGGTCTGAGTAAATTAAAACAGAAAGTTTCAAATTATCACAGCGGATGTTTTGCATAACTGTATGTAACTGTGATTAGATTCGTCACAGAATGGTTCACACTGTCTCCTATTACAATGCTCAGCAGGATTCGCAAATATACTTCCGTCTTGGAAGTCATCACTCGTGAAGTCCGTCAGCACGTGTGACCACGTCAAGGGGAGACCGTAACTTTAGGGTGAGCAGGGATGAGCAAGTTAATCGAACCGCTGATCAACCGCTGGCAGCCAAACAGATGATTGTCGAAGCAACTAAGCGAGAGGTTCCTGGTTGGAAGCTCTCCGGAATTCGTGAGATGCGCACTGCTGGTGATTACAAATGTGGCAGCAAAGTGCTTTCTCGAGGTTGCTAAATATAACGAACTCATATGGTGAAATTTTTCACCAAAAATGAAACAAAACCGAGGATCGCCAAGCTTTTGAAAGGCAGTTCTGCTGTAAGCACAAATCCCCATGAAGACATCCAAGAATTAATTCACTTTTAAACTTTAATAAATGAAGATAGCTGATTTCCAAGACGCTGTTCTGTTCCTGGAGGTACTACATTCACTTTGTTTGACAAGGTAACTTTCGGATCAAAATGCATATACTGGCAGGTGTATATCTAAAGTCTCTTCACCACGGACCATCGCGTTTTTTGAAATTTAAGGACATTCGTTTAAACCGTACACATCACTCAATTTGACAGCACTCAGGCACAATAGCATGAATTGCAACGTCTAACAGTTTCATAATTATCCGCCTATATTGTGCTCATTTCACTAGTTGAAGACAAAATTTGGCTAAGTAGATTAAGTCGGTGATTCTGGCAAAAGAAAGGAACGCAAGAGGCAGCCTCCAAATGAGGAACGTCACCTAATACGGCTTGCTGTGTTTTGGAAGTAAACCATATTTTGAATGTGCATCCGAATTTAAACCAACGTGTTTGATTCCTGTGAGAGCTAATCGTGTACATTTGTAGTTTGCCTGTTTGTCAGGCCACTGTCTGAAAGCTAACTTTGTTGAGCACGCTATGATTAGCTACGAATGGATCATTGACTTCATACTGAGTGCAATAAACACATTAAAGAAACTCCTGCTTAAAACTTTCTTGCGCAAACTGTCCAATGAAAAGTGAAAACGGAATGGTACTATGCTGCGTTGAACGCCTCGAAATACGAATTGATAATCCAGATTGGTGAAAATCACCAACCGATATATACCTACGTTAATTACTTGGGGGAATTACAGGCTTCCAGATTCATTGTTTTGACAGATGTTCGCACACGCGAAAGCTCTACCGCGTTTTCCCTGCACAGGTTAACAAGTAGGGTAAACATGCAAACCTTTATTGAAGAAACAGCATTTGTCTCGTCAGTTCTATGCACCGCACCAAAGTTTCTTCCTTCTGAATCCGCAGGTGTTTTACTTTGGGATGTCACAAACTGAGTTTTAGCGGTTTCAATAATACTTAAGAACATTATCTGCACGAGGTTTCGTCTCAGAGAGTTTGTTCAGAGTGAATGGGAGCAATTTCCATGAGAAGCAATATGAATTCTATATTTTCAGATCGGTGATGTTAGCTCAAAGACATTCGAATGTAACCGTAATCCTAGTAAAATTTTCACGTAGTTTTAAAGTGACATTTTGATTTCCGTGTTTGGGCGACGTGGTCTTGCAAGCTTCCTAATTTTACAGGTGAGTTGAAATCACATCAGTGCAGAACTTCGTGAGATATCCGCAGCAGGTATAAAAACACCCAACCTTTGATCGACTACTTACCGATATTTAGCAGCTCAACTGATTTAATTTCACTGTGTGAAGTCTTGTTCGTTTGTTGCTTTGTACTATCAGGGCTGGATAATTCCGTCATATTTGGAGTACCCTGTGATATTGTGGGTAGGGTTGTGGAGAAAAATCCCTTTTCGGTGTTGTTTAGGGATGGCGCAGTTACTGTTGTTAGCGTTGAGTCAACTGCATCAGGCTCCGGACGACGTAAGTGTCCACAAGTATGCTCACAAGTTGCGCGATCGGCAAACCGATTCGCATTGCCACCACAACCCGAATACATGAACGTCTGACACCCTCCCTTTGAATTATGTTCACCAAAGGGATTGACCTCCAGCAGTTCCGGGTCGTAATACCACATTTCTCGGGGAGAGCTGCATTCGCCAACGTCCGCACTCATCACGCAAATATCTGTTAAAGAAGAAGGTTAATTTATTGATGTCAGAAGTGGTTTCTCGAAAGCATTGTCCTGTGAAACAAATCCGACTGTCAACTAGAATGACGTAATCGACATCAGCATGTTCTGAATGGCATTTTTGCAGATGGAGTTTTGGTTCTTAAAACACATAGTTACCGGAACATAATTTCCCAAACAATCACAGTAGCTGGTCTATCCAGTGGAAAATTGTTGGGTAAATGCATATGGTGATTGTGAAATTTTTTCTCCATCTGAACGCACTTTTTACAAAACTAACGCAAGAATTCCACATGCTTCACGTCCTGGTTACATTCAAGGGCACCATTGGGAAACCAGTGTCACCAAATTGAGAAGATGAACAATATGAAATAAGTGTGCCAAATTTTCAAAGGGGTTATCTATTTTTAAGTAATCAATGCAAGGCAATTTGTCGTCTATGTAAATGGTCTAATGCCACAGAAACTGCGTGCCCTTTTTCAAGTGCACATCGTACCCTTTTTGTTTGAGAACAAGAATGCTGAACAAAGTGGAACAAAGAAAAGTCCTGAGCGGGACTATTCAGCGGGACTTGTGCATGTAAAAATATTATCAAAACAACCAACCAGATAACTCAATTTTCCCTTTAAAGACCTCATGCCAGCTGCCTCGGATCAAACTCCAGCGATAGAGAACAGGCTGCTTTTTTCCAGGGACTCAAAGCAAGCAAAGTGGTCACGCAAATGAGCACACGCTTTCAAGGTGCGGCCCATTTCATCAGATTTATTGGCCACTTACGTACACTTACACTGTTTCGCATCTTATTCAACACCGTAAAGCATGTACAATAGGTCCTTATGAAGCAAACGTTAATTAACTGCTGAGGCACAAGCACTGAATTATGTCTTGGGTGTCAGTGTCCGTTCCTGATAACGGCCAACCAACACAACGGATCTATTCATGACGTAATTTGGCAGCGTTACTCCGTATGCTGAAGACGACCCCTACTTTCACGAACCGGATGGTACAGTCCCCGCCCGCCAAAATAATTAAATTGAGGGGGACGTAAGTTGCCACATGTTCATAACCAAAGTGACAGTTGCCCGTTAAACGTGTTCATCAGACACTTTGATCGTATAGATTTAATTTCAGTACTTAAACGCCAGGTCTCTTGAGCGGAAGACGCTTCAATTTCAAACTTTCAGAAGTTTGTCCAGCTTGCCATCTTCAAAGTTCATATTGTTTGTTCTTGTGTTTTAAGAACCAAATTCGTGTTCCAAACCCTTTTCCAAGTATCTTTTGTTCTAGTCAACTTGATGCAAGCAGATGGGCACTTTTATGTTTTACATGTCCTGTACCCAATCCTTCCTTAACTACTTAGTCGTGCTGCCTTTCCTCACAGTGGCCACAAAGAGGAAACTTGTTGCCGTAGCTTCGATTAGAGTGCAAAGGTTTCTCTTAACCAATCTACTTTGAATCTCTAGCCACAGGCAATCTTGTTCTAATTAAAAGTGCACAAACTGCGCACAGTGGGATGATACGATGTTTAGTGTGCCAGAACATTGAACAAAAGGATTGTCAACCTCCTGGACTTTAAAAGCTAGTTGGTAATTGCTCCATTGCAGTAGTAAATTAAGGGAAGTTGTAGCTGTTTGAACATGGCGAGCTGTGGGGTCAAAATGGACATTTAGAGCAACAGAGTTGCTTCACATATTTTGGCCGGCTGTACCGCGGATAATGAAGTGCGTTTTGTTACGTTAATCACTGGACATATGAGCCAGTCAGCTAAATAATTCTCCATCCTGAAAATGGGTTAGGATTCTGGGAGAAGAACAGTGTAATCAGACGCACCACAACCAGCTGAGGTGTTTGTACTTGGAGTTTTAGTGGTAATTTCAAGCAAACGAATACATGTGAGTAACTATTTCAATCTTATTCAGGGCATTAGTTTATGGGTTAGGATTCTGGGAGAAGAACAGTGCAACCAGACGCATCACAACCGGCTGAGGTGTTTGTACTTGGTCTTTTAGTGGTAATTTCAAGCAAACGATTACATGTGAGTAAATATTTCAATCTTATTCAGGGTATTAGTTCTCACACAGTTCTGACTCTGCACATTTGCACAGATCTTACTTGTCAGAAAACTGAATTAGTGTAAGAAAGGTTAAAAAGCCGTGAATAAACCCAAGCGGGTATACAGAATTAAGAGGACACAGGCCAAACCATTTGGATTTGGGGACAGGCTGTATGAAAGACCAGGTCTGAACAAAATATGAAATCTAGTCGCGCATGAAAACTGTTGTCCTGCCTGACTAAGAAGAATAACGACTTAACCTAAAGTGGAGTATTTTTCCCTTTTTCTAATAGAATATTTATGTTAACGATCCACGTGGAAATCAATTTCTTAGTAATGTAGGGCTCGAAAAAAATTAGCCCTCTAAGCAGACCCTGGTTTTTGACACAAGTAAATTCGCTCGAACGAATCCCAAGTGAGAAAAATGCTGCAAGTAGCCTGATTGTGCTGGAAATCAGCAGTAAAATCTTGGTAATGTGGTGAAACCCACCCAACTGCGCACTGACGATGTCTCCTCGTATGGTGACGAAACGTTTGCAAGCCAATTGCCAAGCTAGGTGAACAGATCAACAGCCATCTGATCAACAACCAGTAAATGTCTTAAAAGAAAAACTAGTCGTTAGAGGCAGTGAATTACTAATACAGAGGCTAAAGTAAGTTTCTATCGGGGTGACTAAATGCAGGTGATATAGACAGCCAACCTTTGAGTTTAAATTTGTAGTGCCGTTTTATCCACACAGACAAACAGTTTATCCTTTAAACCAACGAAGTTTTACCGACAGACGATGTTGGGTCCATGACGAAATATTGGGCGCCTTGCAGTACAGTAACCGGGACCTTAAGTTGGATGCCTCTCATAGCAAAAGCAGCGTCACAAGGTGAAGGAAGAATCTAACTTGAAGCAATAAGGACATTCTCAACAAACTTTACTCCCAATCATGATTCAACATTTCGGCATCAATTCCGTTGGGAATTCGGTTGACTGGTTTTCCAAGAAACAGCTAATATTAATGGCACCATATTCCTTCAGTTTCAAGTTTAAGGTTTTGCGGGATAGGTATTTTGTTCATAGCCACACCACTCTCGTTTGAACGGCCGTCCTCCTGTTCTGGCGTAATTATTCCGGTGAGTCCACACCAAAGGGAAGCACTGGACTCGAGTTTCGCTCTTGTTAGAGCTCATCAGCAGTGCATATCCAATGGCCGTGCCGGGATTTGAACCCTCAGTGGGGTTTCAAGCGTGTGCCACGCTACCTGACTGGGAAGTCCTGACTGGCGGGTCAATCGATTGTCACAACCAGGACAGTTACTGGATCCTCCTTCGATGAGCCGGGCACACCAATCACATCGCTCAAGTGTGAACATGCTCGCCTGTTCAGACGTGAAAACTCAGATACGTTCAACGTGCGTTGGTAGAGTAGTAGTTACACGCTTGCCTCGCATGGCAGATGTTCAGGGTTCAAATCCCGCCACGGCCATTGGATACGCACTGCTGATGAGCTCTAATAAGAGTGAAACTCGAGTTCAGTGCTTCCCTTCGGTGTGGACTCACCGGAATAATTACGCCAGTACAGGAACACGGTCTTTCAGTCTCATCTCAATTTCCCGTTTGTGTACTGTATGGTTTACTTAACCGCAGTCTACTTTAAACTTTGCATTATTGGCAAATAATTAAGCCCTCCTTGTGGCTCTTCGGGTGCAGTTTTGGATATTCTTAATTTTCATCTTTTGGTGTTGAGAGTGCAGTAAACTTTGAAATGTTGGGTTCAAACTGTGGAGCTATTAATCACAAGGCGACCAGGCTATCTTTCATTTAAAATGATAAAATATTGCGCGGAAGCTTTCTGGTCATTAGTTTAAAGTTCCTTCAAATACTCCACCCGTCTGTGTAGTCGAATGACAAATTAAGGAAATGATATATACACTCGCTCATTTTCTTCTAAAACACTGGGGCGTCTTGACATGGTCAGATGACCATTACACTACTCAAAAGATGGTCAAAATCCTAGTCTCGAAAGAGGCATGGTTATGTCAATTTGAACGCTCAAAAAGTAGCCCAAGTGCACAAATTTTCTTGGGTTTTATGGTTTTTCTTTCCAGTTAGTCTTACTTTGCTTTAGACTCGCTGAAAAGGGCCATGCTTGTGACCTTAATCAAAGTCGACATGGCTACTTGTAATCCCAACCAAGCTTCATGCTTCCACGCAACTTTTGTCTCGAATTCGATAGTTTCACGCTTTACTTGAAACACGACAAATGGGTTGGATTATGAACGCTTAAGTAAAATAAAGAAAAAAACACACGGTAATGTTAAACGTTCAACTCGTTACTCTACTTGCACAACACCCCACAACAAATATAAATTCGCTGCCGTTTGGCATACATATTTTACCTTCTGACTCCTCTTTCTTAGCTCCACAAAACTGTTCACAATCAGTTCTCGTCAGGAAGTTGTTTGCAGAACCTCCACAATGAGAGTAGGCGAATTCTTTGCACGTTCCTGTTTGCGAGTCTAGATACCATCGCGATTCAGCTTGACCGATATTACGACAACCAGGCTCAACCAACTTGGATTCTCTCATTGTTAGTCCCTCAAACAAAGAAACGTTCGCTGCTACCTTGGCTGATGCTAACTCATCTGATGCCATATCGTGTTCCAGCTGCTTGTGTGTGTACCAGTTCCCGGGCCTCTGCTCTGAAGGAGCTACTCGACAAAGCTCCGCGGCAACTGAAAAACAAGGAGTTATAAGAGAAAATTTCAGTATTTGTTGACAAGAAGCCACTAATGACTACCACGATAACTGTTCATTAATCAACTAATGCTTTGTTTATTTTGGCCTCATAAAGTAGATAACTACGTGATACTATATCAGTTGTCATGACCTCTTGTGCAGTCGGAAAGATACCCGAACGAATGAGTGAAAGACAGCAAACAGCACTTAGTTAGTTTGCTTATTGTTTTCAAAACAGTTTGCTGTCTTTGCCTACAACCTAACCCTCAGTTCTTTCTCCAAGTAGCGTCTAGGAATGAGAAATATCGTATGAAGGGAATTGTCAGCTGCTGACCAGATGGACCGGCAGGAGTCGTGTCCCGTGTCTACTTCATACAACAGAGCTTATCTTATCTTGCTGTCACTGTGACTGCACGAAGCGGTTGACACTAGCACAGCTCCAGTCACCCTTCCATTAAGCTATATCCTTAATAACACTATGATAAAATGTGGTATCGTACGTAAACGGACCGGTAGTATAAACAAAGATTTACATCCGGAAATTAAATCGAGAGCTGCCTGAAAATACGCACGATTAAATGATCCTGTCGGCCCAGTTATTCGCATAGCTGCTTTCGAGTTTTGCAGGTTATATTGCGTCGACCAACTTGACCGTGGTTGACCAGGGCTTCTTGATTCATGGCAATGAGAGTTAGCTATTTCCTGAATCAACAAGATGGTTCTGTTCGTGCACTTTCATAACGTTAAGCATATTCGTAAGATGATTTTTGACCAACGTGCTAAGGACATGCCAAAGTTTATGCAGTGGAATGTTTAAACCTGAACAGTCACCTTACCTGTTATTGACGGTTAATTCAGTGGGTGAAAATTTCGGGGGCACAGAAAACCATTTATGCCAACGAAAGGGTTATTTTATGAATGAATGGAGTAAATGGAAAAGGATTCCTAAACATTTTATCGTCACCGTTTGCGAGCGTTCCAGCCAGTCCTTGAAAGTTGGGAATTCCGTTTCAGAAATGTACCAGATCGATTTCCGCCTACACCTGCATCAATGATGAAATGATCTAAACCTCTTTGCTTGGCACCGAAAACTACCTTGGTAGAATTATTTTGCACTGTTTTAGAGGAATTCCTGGTCGAGTCGTAGCTATGTCAAATGTGTTCAAACAGTTTTGGTGCTCGAAAAGAGAACGTTCAGTCAAGATGAAGGAAATCCTCTTTGCATTCTGGTTGTGTGTGACGGTGGCTCATTGTCACCAAGCTTTTGCAGAAGCGTAAGGACTAAGAAGAAATGGAACACCGAACGAACCAAATCCAGAGTTCACATACAGCCAATCTAAACATGATCTGAGGCCATCGTTCAATCACCATCGCCAGCGGGATTCATATGCTCATTATATAAGCATGCATAGATTGCTACCATTCTGACACTGAGTTCTTCCTACTCAAACAATATTTTTTCACCTCCCTCTTATGTAAATCGTCGATGTCCTAATCTCGTTTAGCAAAGACACACTTATAGATCTGAAAAGATGTGGCCAAACCAGTTATCCCAAACTCACCCATAAATATCTTGGAAGCTGTCTTTTCACCACATGTAGCTTCGCATTCCTCAATGGACTGAAAACGATTTGCACTGCCGCCGCACCCGTAGTAGGTAAACCAACGACACTTTCCGGTGGTTTTGTCAAAAAATATCATCAGTATAGGCACCACACCACGCGCAGGACTTGTTTCAGAGCACTGAAAGTAACCAGCCTTTGGGGGGGCCAAGCATCTGACGGGACCTAGAAAGTCGAGGTTTAGAAACGAGGTCATTTTTGTGCAACTAACATCATGCATTCAGACCAACTGCCTGAAACAGGTGTAGGTCACTCTCAATGAGCCACGTTGATAGTAAAGGGACCAAATCTGTATAGTTACATTATTGGGAGCGTTATTTTAAAAAGCTGTTGAATTATTTACAGGATATCTTCAGTGCCCAAGAAGGACCAGAGCTTAACATTTTTCTGCGGTACCCCTTCACCTTCCATAGTAAACGCCCTATATTGAACGACATTTTGTCCGTGATTTTTATCACTACAGCCAGTGAAATGGCTAGTTTCTTGTTCCCTTGGCCTTTTCTTATTTGTGCAATGATTTACATAGGAATAATCGCAAAATGTTGCTCGACGACGTTGGAATAGGTTAAGCAAAGGTGTTGCGCTTTCAGTTTGACTGGTGTCTTACATAACACATAGCGAAGTGGAATTTTTTCTCACAAAATGTTGCTCTGTGTCACTAAACTTGTTTAGATTGGTGCAGAATCCAATGCAGTTAAAGGTTCTCCGTCAGCTGGTCTCCACTAAAGTAAAACAACTTTTGTGTCTTTAGTTTAGTTTGTCGTGTTCCATTAAATAGCTTATCTGCAATCAGCATTACAATACCCAACAAATGACAGAGCCTTTGAAGTCTAAGTGGATGAGATCCGACAGTAGCCATTCTGATGTTCATGGAGGGCGACTCTTGGAAATAATCTCGCGTGATGGCCAAAACAAAAGGCCCAAAAGGGACCGATAACATAAGCAGTAAGTCATATCCTTAAATTACACAATTCCGTCTGGACCGTGAATGTATATCTGGAAAATAAATGTAATTATATTGTATCACAGTAGGTAGGAAATGGCTTTTAGAGAGCCTTTAATTTGATTTGACAGTGTAGAGTCTGTTCATTCTCATGTGATTATAACATTGTTGATGGCGCCATCCTAATCGGTTCGTGCATTCAGTACGTGAATATTTTTGCGTACATTTTATAAATTTAGTGCCCTATTCATCAGAGATAAGATGTTTCCTATGATTCGGTTGTAAGTCCAGTTTGTTTTTTAATGAGTGCAAGAATAAAAAGATGTGGTTGCGGACGGCACAAACTGTTGATCTACAGCCCCACCAGTTAATTTACCGAAAAGACCGCTGTAGTCACTTGTAAGCAGTCAAAATTCTCAGCTGATTCACAACACATTTGCTTAATGGATTGACGGTTGATCTGCATCAATGTTACTACTGAATTTCAAAACAGGTGCAACATTGCTGGCGTGCACTTACCTCAAGGACCTTGATGTGAGTTGTTAGAGATTAGGAGAATATTTATTAGGTCAAAATTAGGAGTCTAAGTAGCACGAATATATTGTCCACTGCTTCACGCATGAAATTTCCTTGAAAAAAGCTGCTGGTATTAATTCCAGCTACTTTGTGAGCAGGAAAACCTGCGTAAATTTGGAAATCACATTCTTGATTCAGTATATTAAGAAGGCAATGATTCCGTGGATATTATTTCTGTATTTACCCCAGCCATTCTAATCAATACCTTCCTAAGCGAACTGTCTTGGTTTTACACGGGTGTTTGTGAGAAACCCGTTGCTGTATACATCGAAATCCGAGAATGAGTTAGCAAAATTTAAATGTTTTTTGTAATCGCTCCTGGAGTTTGACCATGGCGTTTTTCAAAACCGACGATTGGATTTGTGTACTGGAATCACTGAGGCCTCAAGAACCCCAAAACGCTAAACCGTTTTATTGAATACGATCATCTTTGAGAATAGGGCTTATATCTGTACATTGACGGCTGATCCGATTAGGCAGCATTGCGTTTCTATTGTAGCCACGTTCCCAAACCAATGAATGTTTCCGAATTCTGACAGTATTAAGTGAATTATACTAGACTAGTAACCCGTCCAGTTTACTTTTGATTCGCCTGGAGGTAGTTGATTTATCATCAACTATAGCAAGAACATTTTTACTGGACTGTCACTGGCACAAAGTAAAATGTGTAATTTACACAGCTTAACGCCCACCCCCTACCAATTACTTCAGTACTGTCCTTTTGTTGCTGATTTGGTGAATTTCTATCAACTTTAGAATGGTTAACTAAACTGGGTTTTCGTATCAACACCCTGAAATTGCCTACTCTTTACTCGAACATGATGAACCCCGATAAGGTGAGAAATTTTTTGCATGGCTGGGTAATTTGTGGTATAACCATGTGGTGCTACAATTTTGCTCCAATTCTCGGGTGAACCAAAACAGGTGTGGCAGGAAGGCCCGCCTGTGGCAACTTTTTAACCTCGAGTTATTTTAATAAACAGTAGGTTCTTTTTAACAGAACACACATGTGACCGATAAAAATCGTCCTTTTGTGAAGAAAATATTTCGCATATTAAATATTAATAAGCCTCTGTGTTGATAATGCGCTTGATTTTGTTGTTTAGTCATTTCATTAGTATCTTTCCCTTACACATAGTTTAATAAATCAAATAAGTCTCACGCATCCAACTGAAAAGATATAGCATTATCGGTATAATTCATATGTCGTAGTCAAACTGGTCAAGCCAACATTTACTCTCTTTCTTCTTCAAAATCTAAATTTAAAAGCATCTCAAACCTACGGAGTTTTACAAACGCTGGACATCAACCAACTCATTGGCGACTACCCCCATACATCGTACACACGCTCCGAAAACAAAAAGCCGCCTCATGACTGTCTACCTTTGTTTACTGACAAGCATTAAGTGACTCTCATAATGTTAACACAACCTGCGCGAGTAAACACAGTTCCCAAGAATAAAACGCATATAAGGATTTAATATTATGGTCGGCTTTCTCACAACCCGCACTTATTTGATTATGATTCGTAAGCTATTTTAGGTGAAAACGGAGGCTTTTTAAGCGCAACTAATTTGAGGCTGAGAAGTCAGTTGTACGCCCTGGAAGCTCCATCTTGGTCGGCTGGATTAAGGTGACCGTATGCTCGGAAACAGTTTTTAAGTCCGGTGGGATCTGTCGTATGGAATTTCGACAGATTTTCCTTATTCACAGATATCCTAGCAAATATACCTAAATAAAAAATCGACTAATCGTGCAAGGGTCGTACTACAAAAGATTTTTAATTGTAAAATCACTAAACCAAATACATGATAGCCCAACTCGAATTTAATACGCTACCGCTTATGCTTATTAGTGGTGCTTCGAAAGTATATTCGCCTCTTACTAGTCAGGGTAAAGGGAAGCCATGGTACAGTATCTTGTCACCTGGAATCTTCATGGTCACCATGATCATCGTCGCCAAATTTCACAATGCTGAAAAATCTCACAGTTTTTGCCCCAGTCCTTGAGACGAACCAGCCTGATCTTAATGACTTTTTCCACTTGAAACATTATAAAAACTTCTTGGGCAAGATATTTGACAGTAGAAGAAGCCTTTGTTGAATTGTATGATCCGTAATTCCTCCTCATTCTTATCGTTTTTGTTCAAGAGTCATAGCCAGAGGACACCGCAAATCGATTTGATCCCTCAGTATGAGTGTCTTACCTATTTAAATTCTCAATCTTTGGAGTATGACCGACGTCAGACGGTGAGATGACCTAGTAAAGTTTTTTGGTTTACAACAAATACTACACACCAATGCACATTCGGTTATATCGCATGGATCAGTTAACTCTTCAAATAACGTATGCTTGACACATTGGCGGAGTGTGCTCGCTCCTCAATTGTCAATAATTCACTGCGTGAACGGATTGGCGTTTCAGTGGCATTAATCTCGAAGGTTGAACCTGAACGGAAGCACGCTTTTCAGTCCTATCCGATGTCTAGACGGAAAATAAGTAAACTTCGTATGTGACACCAAACTGTCAGACTGTATGCCACCCTGGGGTTGGTCGATTATTGGTGCCTACGACAGATTTATAACGTTTGTGGTGCGAACCCTGGTTGCTCATTAATTATTTAAGTGTTCAGTTGCAGTTTCACTTAAAAACGTTCACCTGTTTTGCCAAGAACGGACGGTTTTCGGAACCCGCCTCAAACACCAAAATATATTCCCGTTGGTAACCATAATCCAAGGAACTGAAAAACGTCTCGGAAAATACCCGAAAGAAAATAATCAGCCAAGCGTATTGCTATGGAGGGTCATCAGTTTTAAACCATCATTGCCTACATGTCAGCTGAAAACTTCATCCACGTTTTAGACAAAATTGAAACACCACTGTTCTTCATAGCGTATGCTGACTTGTTCGTTGATGAACCCCAAACAAACTGACATTCACGATTACTCCATACGGTGGCGAAAACGCCCAGTTTTGTCAATCTCGACTGTTGATAAACTTCCTTGCGTAGTTGTACTGCACTTGCCAATACGTTTATCTCCATACAGGGCAGTCCAGCATTTTGATTGTCCTGCCAAACCTTGATATTTGGTGTATTTCCTTGGATGATCGTTCATCAGGGGCATACGGTGGTTTGGCTGATTGACAGTCCTGTTAGTGTAAATGCGTATCCCACGATAATGTGCCAAGATTCTCGGTGGCTAGCAGTGTGATGTCCATTGTTCAGTAAAAATTCAAAACTTCATTAAACTAACTTTACCTGTTCAGATAAATTCCAAATGAGAGCGTTTCCCAAAATGTCATTGTGAGTGCTACCAATGGGATGACCTTAGTGGTAAGGCGCAAGAATGATGGAACCATTAGTGAAATTTCGAAGAGTTTCCAATGACCTTATAAGCTGTGTTGTGCCACCAATGAGTCAGGACTGGTTGGGAATGAACTAGTGCCAATTTCTAAACTCCATTGTCTTCTTGGTAATGGGTAACGTAACATCCGCATGCGGATTGCTCAAGTTGGATAATGACTGCCAGTGTAGTTTATATGTGGGGAAGTCAACTCTCATATTTCGCTGTTTTAACTTTTTGTTTGTGAGTGACTGTGCGATTCTTCTGTCACTACCAAATACTTGCGCATTCATACCAGATTTGTTCATCGTTTAAAAGTATTCCAAGAAGAGTTTGGTCTGCCAGCAAATACCATTTTATTGGATGAAATGTACTGCCTTTTGTTGTTGTAAATGTTTAACTTCTGTCAGCGTTTGTCATAGTGTCACTGAAGAATGTTACAGGCAGGGGAGGACATATGTGTGACATATGTGTGACAGTTTTACTGAAAAGGTTTTCAACACAATAATAACAAACGCCACATCTTCATGGGAAAGTTTGACGGGTATTTAGTCGCTGAAAACTGAATGGATAAATGAATTAAGGGAATGTATGTTTTCTATTCATGTGCCTGAATCCAACTCGCGGGAGTCATCATGGTACCACTAACTTGTACCTAATAATTATACGAGGCTCAAGCTGTGGTTGAGTTGGTCCCGCGAGTGCGGACAGAACAAGTTTTCCCCAACTGCATTAAAAATTTCTACCCATTAAAAGTCAAAATATCGAATAAATTTCGCCATAGGCATGAGCTACTAGCGAATTCAAGTTCATCTTTTGTAACCAGATATATGTTTCGGTCCTTCCTTTATAGACCATTATACGACATCACAAAGTCGATTTCCGCGGGAAAAAAATGCTTATGGTATGGCCAGTGTACACAAAACTAGGCTTATTGACAAACGCTGGCAGTTATTAGCGAGTAGTTCTTGACGAGACGCGCGCTCACTCTGTTCGAAGGTAGTGACATGAAATTTCTCCACAGACGTTATTTGCTGATCCAAAGTCGATCGTCTTCAGTATGTAGCATTTACTCTCAAAGCTTGTACCAAACGGTTGGCTTGAAATAAAAGGGTTCTCTGAAAATATTCAATTAATTATATGCTAAAATCGTTCTTTTAAGTTGAAGAGGATATCTAAGAACAAATCATAGTTGTTCCCTACTGAAGGTAGTTTCGTCTCTGAGTAAACCCTCAAAAAGGAAAAATTTGCATACTAAATATATTTAACCTTGGAAAACCCTAAACTACTAAACATGCAGTCAACAGAAAATGAAAGTGGTCATGTGATCAGAAAGATAGCAGACTATTCCTTTTTAAACGCTTGCTTATTCGAGTTCCTTCCCAATTTCATTCATATTTCTCCGTCGAAACTTTCACAATTTATTATTCAATAATTTCAACGAGGACCTGTTTAACTGGCTGGCAAGTGCCTGTGGTAACCAAATTTGCTAAACTTATAGACCAAGGGCGAAGAATATGATGTGATAATTGTTGATTTATGTACCACTGGCTGTAAAAATTGAAATAGAAAAAAACTGGGAAAAATTCAAAATGTCGGCCAGAAATAGGAGCCAATGAACCCTGCTTTCAAGCACGCAGAATGACACCAACTTACCGGCGGGTGGCATGCAGGTGCTCTCACATTCTTCGCGTGTCTCAAAAGCATTCGAATTCAATATACAGTCCGATGTGTAGTGACAGCACATTTCCACCGAATCATAATACCATGTTCCACGAACCCGTTGTGTTTGCGTCTGTGATTTGTTGTTCAATGTGTTGTGGCAGAGCTCGATGATGGGACGCTGGTAACACGAATCTATAAATCGAAACGCGATAAAGGCTCAAACAATCCGAAAAACTACAAGCATATGTAACATGTGTCGCCACTGAATTCATTGCAGTTATAATCAGGTGCCACACCTGCTGCAGAAAACCCTATCCCTATTCTCATACTTTGATTATTTTTGAGCGGAAATCGTTAGAGAGTCGTAGAAACAAAGTGCTGTTTCCTGGTATCAAACTTTACCCTTCGTCCTCAGAACTGTGATGTGAATGATGATGACATTTGTGTAAATACTAAGGCTGTAACTCAATTCTCCTTTGGTAACTTAACGATGTAAGTTATAAAAATCGTTTAGCTGTAACACCCTCTCGACGCCTAGCTGCCATGCCACCCGGAGGAAGCACGAGGGCTGTGATCTTGCCAGGTTCCCCAAGCCTAGACACGGGAAGTCGAGTGGCAGATGTCGGGTTCGAACCACGGACATTCCAGTCGGTAAACTCGCAATCTAACCACTTGGACCATCTCGCCCCCTATGCAAGTTATACCCAAACTTATCTGAAAGGTGAAGTCAAACAGATGTTGAAACTCAGGTTGTTAGTTATCGTTTTATAGCTTGATTCTTACTTATGTCATCGACGAAACAGTAGTGAGAATACAGAATATGCATTAGATAAAATTCTCTTACTTGACGAGTGTTTGATAGAGAGGTACTGCCTTCAAACCAGTGAGGAAATTCTAAAGATTTGCTGGCGATTACACACATAAACTGCTTCTTTGGTTATCCCGAAAGAGTGTAGAAATGTTACCATTATTGATTCCCTCTTGTGAAATATCGTCGTTTAAAAGAGCTCAAAGGATCAACCTGCCGTGAGAAAACCTTTGGTTCTTGGCCCAACGCTACCTAGGCACTAGATAAATACCCTTTGTTAGCGTCTATATAATCCTTTTGCTATGAAGTTCGTAATTTTTTCTATACAGAATAATTCCACGTAAAGACTGACTACCACAGATTGATTAACATTTAGGAGGAATATCTTGAACATTTGAAACAACTGTTCAATCAAGGTACCCTGTGCCAAAATACTTAGAATATGAATTCCTTTGGCGGCCATTTCATTCTTTCATTCTCTCATTCATGTCATGATTACGGGATTTCGAACTTCTGAAAGCCGCAAATTGAGCTTTTTAGGCGAGAGTTTAATCGTCGAATGGAATACGACAGTTTTCGCAATGTATTACTTAATAGTTGTTAACTAAAGCTTTCTATGAATTTGAACCAGGTTGGTTGCGCTTGGTCTGTAGTCATGTGACATGGACGGGTGTATACAGTACGTCACATACGGTAAACAGTTTGGACAAAATCAATCCGTGTAAACTCGGCATAAGTTCCTGGCTGTCCCCGTGACCTTAGCGTTCCGTTAGACAACTGCAAGTGAGGCTTCACTTTGGCCTGGTCATTGCAATTAATCCAGGTTTGTTGGTATATACTGGTACGCATCATTCGAATAGACAAAGTGACCGTGTGATTGTGTGCTGGTTCAATAAACATTTGGACGGTCTGGCACCATCATGCACTCTGGAACCAGAGTAAATCCAGGCGATCTAATGGCGCCTTGTGTGAACATCACTTAGCCATAACCATCACTGAACACGCCACTATGTCCAAGCCGTGCGATTTAGTGAGCAGAAAGAGTAAATCTGTTATCTTTCCAACCACAGATTTGATACGCCGTTGGTCTCACGTTATAGTTACTAAACCTATACGTGTTCCAACGGTCACAGTGTACCTGATCTATGAACCTTAGATTACAACTGATAGATTCCGCTCGATATTTTATTCAAACAATTTGCTTTGGAAAGATCTCATTTCCGTCAAGAGAGCACCTGGACGGCACCATATGAGGAAAATTTCTGTGGGTCAGGTGAAAATTAAGAGAGCAACTCTCCAAAAAAACTAGAATTTAGCATCATCTAGCATCCTACTTGAGGCGATGAGAGTAAGTTTGGTTAACAGATCACCGGATACATAATTATATGGAAAATTAGCTATGCTTGAAAGCTGTGTTTGTTCCTAGCGTGCACCACTCATTAACTCATCTTGAATGATGCGTTTACTCAGCTTAATTTATTTAGGAAAGGAACACCGGCCACATAAGTGCCAGATAGCTCTCTTTGTGTAACCGCTGCTACTGCCCTTCTGGAAGACAAATCATCTGAAACTCCACTAAGAAAACTTCCTAGTTATGAGATGACTGGTGTCTCCTCCGTACGCGAAATTGCGGTAGTAGTATCCTTCCAATTTTATATCAGAATCACAGTACTCTGTTCAAAAAGGCAGACAAATTAGATACTTTAATCCGCATTTAACATAAATCATCCAATAAAAGTCTCGGAACCACTGGAAATATCACTCTGACGAACAGTTTTAAAAAGACTAAAAATCGAGAACGAAGCCCCAAAACGTTTTTTTAGAATTAATCGCTGCCGAATGTGAGTAACAAAAGTGGAAGCGTTTACAGGACTATATCAGAATAAATGCCTTTTGAGTATCTGAGGCAAAAAGTGACTTAAATTTTCACGGATAGCACAATGCTAGATACTTAGCCCAGTTTTAATCATCCATTCGTAGTTTGTGCACCATACGGAATGTCACCTACACATGATTTGTGGAAAGTGTACTGTGGATCCTGGACACTGATTCCTGACTTTTCCGGTGTCCAGTGCACATCAAAGTCTCAGGCACAGATGCCAATGCATCACGCCACAATCATCTAAATTTCAGATTAGTAATGAACCACTACAATACGATGTATCAACACGGAACAACCCAGCTGTAAAACACTGTTGTATTTCTTAAGGAACTGCATTCAGATATCTCGCGGATGGTACAACATCGAATGTTTCAAGAAGCCTAATTCTCCCTGAAAGTTACACGCCTTATAACATTATGCGTGCCTAGCGTTGCACAGGCAAGTGACCAGTGCCAGGGTGCTAATTGAATGACAGAAGTGTAGCGACGGCCCACTGACTGAGAAGCAATCAAGCCTCAGAAAGATCCACTTTGTCTCTGCCCGGGATTACTCAGTAGCCATATCAAGAGTTCATTTTGTGAGTGGCCACCGACATACTGTGTTTGTGTTTGAGTTCCTCTGCATCTATAGGTCTGAGATATTGGGGCTTCTGAGTGGAGACACAGGAGTTCAGACCTAGCCAACACATTCTCTTAGTAAATATTCAATGTGCCCACAAAGCCTGCTAAGTAGGAATGGACGAGCAATAATTGGCCCTCCCAAACAGGCCCGTCACTATTAACATGGATGATCAATAAAAATGAAATTTATTTACCCGACGGTACTGGTAAACTTGCTGAAATCTCTTCAACGGCAGACAACCTCCTTCTCTCTTCTTTAGGCTTATCAGTTGTTCTCAACCTTTTGTTGCTTACAAACAAAGTCCACCCAATAAGTGAGGTATATATATTCGAAAACTATATCGGCTTTAACGGCAATCCCAAATAACACAGATGAATCTCTCGTTCACGATGCTTCATGTTTCAGTTTCTCCGATGGATGTACAAAATACAGCGCAGTTGGTTTTAAGTGGAACAAAAAACTAACGAAAAACTCTAAGTCTGCGTCTGTCAGATGAACCAGGAGCAAAAAGAAATTGGCCACAGATCCGCCAATAGTGCGCTACATCCTGAGAATATACTACGATTTCTGGAATATAATATCACAAACTAGACCAAAGGAAGATGTAGTTGGATTCAATTGCTCCTCTCGTTAAAAATAAGTTAGTTTTACCAGATTTCGCGATTACCTGCTTTCTCCGTGGGTAGAGTGTTATTCTAGGGCGAGAACAAACACTTGAACAATATGGATAGTGTGCGGATCACAAAATCTCAGCTCTACAGTGTACGGCTAGGAAGGATGAAACCATTCACCTTAGAATAGTGAAACATCTAATAAGTTCTTGGTGTCTGTGCCAGATAAATTTCAATGCCCGACGAACATTGTAGAGGAAGGTGCAGCAACTAATAGAAGCAATGTAGTAATTTTAGCTCACAGCGATCATTAGTTGGTTTATAAGGATTAAACAAATATGTTACGAGGCAACTGCAATATCTACCGAAAGAATACGTCATTGAAAATAACTAATACAGTTAGGAGTTTTGGCTTGGAGAGTGGTAGCAAACATTGCGCACGGCAGCCAAGACATCGAATTACAATAACCTAATCCACAATGGTCCAGCTCCACTGTAAAAAGTACCAAACTAATCAATTTCGTTATGTGGACCACTTTCTTAGTGATATTTACAAAACCAGTGAGTTCAGTCTGTTTTTCAATGAAACAGTGCATCGTTCTTGTGCTAAAAGGTTGAAAAGTTCTAGCAGTTCCAACGCTCAGTGAAATAATTAGGCCTTCGGATGGATCTGTCGCCACGCGTGGAGTACGTTTGGCTTGGTCCGAATATCTCTCATTTATAGTCGTTGAAAAATATCTTTTCGTTAAACTGTGGATTTATTTGGCGAAATACACTGATTTGCAAACTAATTTGGTTTTGCGAGAGACTCACCTAGAATCCAGATGGATCTCTCAGTTTTGATGTTTCCAGGCAACAGAATGTGCTACATTCCCTCTTGTGAAATATCGTCGTTTAAAAGAGCTCAAAGGATCAACCTGCCGTGAGAAAACCTTTGGTTCTTGGCCCAACGCTACCTAGGCACTAGATAAATACCCTTTGTTAGCGTCTATATAATCCTTTTGCTATGAAGTTCGTAATTTTTTCTATACAGAATAATTCCACGTAAAGACTGACTACCACAGATTGATTAACATTTAGGAGGAATATCTTGAACATTTGAAACAACTGTTCAATCAAGGTACCCTGTGCCAAAATACTTAGAATATGAATTCCTTTGGCGGCCATTTCATTCTTTCATTCTCTCATTCATGTCATGATTACGGGATTTCGAACTTCTGAAAGCCGCAAATTGAGCTTTTTAGGCGAGAGTTTAATCGTCGAATGGAATACGACAGTTTTCGCAATGTATTACTTAATAGTTGTTAACTAAAGCTTTCTATGAATTTGAACCAGGTTGGTTGCGCTTGGTCTGTAGTCATGTGACATGGACGGGTGTATACAGTACGTCACATACGGTAAACAGTTTGGACAAAATCAATCCGTGTAAACTCGGCATAAGTTCCTGGCTGTCCCCGTGACCTTAGCGTTCCGTTAGACAACTGCAAGTGAGGCTTCACTTTGGCCTGGTCATTGCAATTAATCCAGGTTTGTTGGTATATACTGGTACGCATCATTCGAATAGACAAAGTGACCGTGTGATTGTGTGCTGGTTCAATAAACATTTGGACGGTCTGGCACCATCATGCACTCTGGAACCAGAGTAAATCCAGGCGATCTAATGGCGCCTTGTGTGAACATCACTTAGCCATAACCATCACTGAACACGCCACTATGTCCAAGCCGTGCGATTTAGTGAGCAGAAAGAGTAAATCTGTTATCTTTCCAACCACAGATTTGATACGCCGTTGGTCTCACGTTATAGTTACTAAACCTATACGTGTTCCAACGGTCACAGTGTACCTGATCTATGAACCTTAGATTACAACTGATAGATTCCGCTCGATATTTTATTCAAACAATTTGCTTTGGAAAGATCTCATTTCCGTCAAGAGAGCACCTGGACGGCACCATATGAGGAAAATTTCTGTGGGTCAGGTGAAAATTAAGAGAGCAACTCTCCAAAAAAACTAGAATTTAGCATCATCTAGCATCCTACTTGAGGCGATGAGAGTAAGTTTGGTTAACAGATCACCGGATACATAATTATATGGAAAATTAGCTATGCTTGAAAGCTGTGTTTGTTCCTAGCGTGCACCACTCATTAACTCATCTTGAATGATGCGTTTACTCAGCTTAATTTATTTAGGAAAGGAACACCGGCCACATAAGTGCCAGATAGCTCTCTTTGTGTAACCGCTGCTACTGCCCTTCTGGAAGACAAATCATCTGAAACTCCACTAAGAAAACTTCCTAGTTATGAGATGACTGGTGTCTCCTCCGTACGCGAAATTGCGGTAGTAGTATCCTTCCAATTTTATATCAGAATCACAGTACTCTTAGTAAATATTCAATGTGCCCACAAAGCCTGCTAAGTAGGAACGGACGAGCAATAATTGGCCCTCCCAAACAGGCCCGTCACTATTAACATGGATGATCAATAAAAATGAAATTTATTTACCCGACGGTACTGGTAAACTTGCTGAAATCTCTTCAACGGCAGACAACCTCCTTCTCTCTTCTTTAGGCTTATCAGTTGTTCTCAACCTTTTGTTGCTTACAAACAAAGTCCACCCAATAAGTGAGGTATATATATTCGAAAACTATATCGGCTTTAACGGCAATCCCAAATAACACAGATGAATCTCTCGTTCACGATGCTTCATGTTTCAGTTTCTCCGATGGATGTACAAAATACAGCGCAGTTGGTTTTAAGTGGAACAAAAAACTAACGAAAAACTCTAAGTCTGCGTCTGTCAGATGAACCAGGAGCAAAAAGAAATTGGCCACAGATCCGCCAATAGTGCGCTACATCCTGAGAATATACTACGATTTCTGGAATATAATATCACAAACTAGACCAAAGGAAGATGTAGTTGGATTCAATTGCTCCTCTCGTTAAAAATAAGTTAGTTTTACCAGATTTCGCGATTACCTGCTTTCTCCGTGGGTAGAGTGTTATTCTAGGGCGAGAACAAACACTTGAACAATATGGATAGTGTGCGGATCACAAAATCTCAGCTCTACAGTGTACGGCTAGGAAGGATGAAACCATTCACCTTAGAATAGTGAAACATCTAATAAGTTCTTGGTGTCTGTGCCAGATAAATTTCAATGCCCGACGAACATTGTAGAGGAAGGTGCAGCAACTAATAGAAGCAATGTAGTAATTTTAGCTCACAGCGATCATTAGTTGGTTTATAAGGATTAAACAAATATGTTACGAGGCAACTGCAATATCTACCGAAAGAATACGTCATTGAAAATAACTAATACAGTTAGGAGTTTTGGCTTGGAGAGTGGTAGCAAACATTGCGCACGGCAGCCAAGACATCGAATTACAATAACCTAATCCACAATGGTCCAGCTCCACTGTAAAAAGTACCAAACTAATCAATTTCGTTATGTGGACCACTTTCTTAGTGATATTTACAAAACCAGTGAGTTCAGTCTGTTTTTCAATGAAACAGTGCATCGTTCTTGTGCTAAAAGGTTGAAAAGTTCTAGCAGTTCCAACGCTCAGTGAAATAATTAGGCCTTCGGATGGATCTGTCGCCACGCGTGGAGTACGTTTGGCTTGGTCCGAATATCTCTCATTTATAGTCGTTGAAAAATATCTTTTAACTGTACTGTGGATTTATTTGGCGAAATACACTGATTTGCAAACTAATTTGGTTTTGCGAGAGACTCACCTAGAATCCAGATGGACAGTTTTGATTTGATGTTTCCAGGCAACAGAATGTGCTACATCAGACCATCTCATGTTTTAGTTGCTACAACATTCAAGATATCGTGATACATATATATTTATTTGTAATGCAGTATTCATGAGGTTGCTGGAAACTCCTCAGTTTGTTTCTCACACCTTTATGCATTACCTTACCAGGTGTTACTAGGACTGGTGCGTGGGCTGTTGATGACAAGCTGCTGAAAGTACATTCAAAAAAGCTTTAGTGAAGAGACAATCAACCCTCTTGAATGTATATTCCTCTAAAAGAATATCCCTTATTGATTTCTTGGCTGCGAAATTTGTTGGTCGGTTGCCATTAATTTTATCATTTTCAATAAGCACACGAAAATTAGGCCGATTATGTACAGTATACCCAGTCATCTAGTGCAGTTTCTTGAGTTTCCAACTTGATGGGCTGCTTACTCTTGTAGCAAAAAGTCGGTTGAAAAGATGTCGGTGTTTTGGAACTGCGCCATCAATGTTTGAACTAGACCTTGAGTTACGACCATCTGCTCAAATTTTCTTTCGCTATCTCACAAAAGATGAAATCAGAGCCGAAACAATTTTTTGCCTAGTCGTTCTGAACCACCATTCGGCCACAAAGAACAGAAGCTATGTCACCTTTACCATTATCAGCTTCCTTGAATCGGCGTGAATTGATAATGGTTTCATCAGTTTGCAGATCGAAACCATGTTCAAGGCTCAAAGGGAAACACAAATGCGCCGGTTTGTTGAAAGTTTGTACCCATTTATTGCACTCCTTTTCACAAAGCTGGGCCTCCATGACAAGTGATTTCGGCCGGACGACTGTTAACATGTATTTTTACTGTAGTCTTTGTGAACAGGCACGGTAGTTCAACAGAATCAACAACCTTAAAATAGTGGATTAAATGGAGCTAACCTTTGCTTATCTGTCGCTTCTGGTATGTTTCTGTAACATCAGCTGTTTGAACTTGAAAAACATTGTCAGTTGTAGGTGTGCTTTCCGTTGTGGTTACGAGACTGGACGCCGTTGTTCTGAATAAAGGTATAATCCTGGTAGGAGGGTATCCCCATAATTCCTGGGTGATTGGCATTGTGGCTGGCGACTGCGTACTTTGACTATATAGTGAGGACGTTGTTGGGACTTCAGATACAGAGGTGGCTTCTGTATAAGTTTCTTCGCGCTTGTCAGTTGTGGATGGTCCAGTAACTTTATCAGTTTGGATTTGAGTAATACGGTCGCCGTCCTCGATTTGTCCCCCGGAGAATTTGGTATCGGTTGACTCCGCAGAAGAGGCAGTGCTGCTTTCAACAGAGCTGTTAGGTGTGATATATAGGTCGGTTTCTGTAACCATTTCAACAAATTCGGTATGAGGGTGCAACTTTGACACCTTATCACCGAATTCAACTTCTTCTGACGATCTGTTAACCTCGGTGGGAATCATCAGGACGTCCAAAATTTGGTCGTTGGGGCCGGTGTCCTGTGGAATATTGATGTTCTCAGACTTAGCATATTCAAACGGATCCTCTGCTAGGAATTCCAGGATGCTAGTTTAAGCGGAGAAGGCAGTATAAAAGTGGTTGCGTTTAATTAGAAGAATGAGTAGAGATTAATTTTATCCTTCAGTCTAATGAGGTAAGCAAGTCTTAATTAGGGTTTGACAAGTGCACCTAATATTTGGCCAAACAGCAAAATATTGAGATAGTTTATTGGTTTTATATTTTCAACATTCAATGACCATTAGAGAAGGGGATGCATTGAACTTTCAGCAGTTTATGTGTTCGAAAATTCTGTTGAAAGTTCATAAAGTATTTTGGGGACTGGAATTTGAAGCTGTTTTACTCAGTCATTACCTTTGCATAAATTTGCATGAAGTAGCTGCTGTCTCATTAAATCGTCGTTCCACAGCTGGTAAACCGTTAAAATGTTCCATAGAGCAGACAGCTATTCACTTTCTGGGGACCTGGTAATTGTCATGCTACAGTGTATATATGACCAACTGCTTCAGTGGAGCTGTGACCAAGATTGCAAAAAGCAAAAGGCAGTTCGGAAGTTCTACCCTACCGAGTTGATCGGGTACGCTTTAGGAAGGCGGCGGTCTGTACTTTTATTCAAGAGAGAACGGGTATGGTGAAAGCGTCCGTATTAACATGCTTCTTGGGATTCGAAGACATCTGTTCTTAAGAAAAATTCATCTTTTTCAAGAAAATTCGGACTAAGTTTTCCTTCGAGCTTTTGGACCAGTTGTTCGAATATCAAATAAGACGACATACTGAAATCCAAGGTATGAGAACATCATTATCAGCTGTGAAATCCGCACACATGTACAGTGGTTGTAGCCGCTGATGATCTGAGGAGGTAGACGTAGATGGCCACGCAACGGAGGCGGTAGCTGCTGTGATCGGTGCATTAATACACGTGTGTGTCAGCGGATGTTTCGTCAAACCGATCGTGAGGCGTAGCTATGTATTTAAGGCGATAGCTTGGTACAATTGGGCGAACGACTGCGCGGGATATGGGGTAGTCCACTCCACAACATAAAAGCAAATATTCTTTGTCACAGACTCACTTTAAATGAAAATTTCTGCGATCCGTGCGTACACAAAAAGTGCTTGATGTAAATTTCTTTAAAGAAAGGACTCGCCAACGTACGGAGTGATGGCTACTAATATAGGGATGCATTTAGTGGTCTTCACATGATGTTATTTGGCCTAGTTGATTTAAGTGTTCGTTGCGACTTAGCTCACATTTTGAAGCTGCCTAATTTCAACGTTTGTTTCTGATAACATTCAGGAGGTACAAGTGTCCACAAACGTATTCTATAGCTATATGTCTGTATGGATGCAACATTGTGACAATGTTTCAGTCCTCTTAACACATTTAGTGAAAAAAATACTGTACAGCGTGACTACTGAAATCAGGCTAGCTACTAGCAAACAAGTGCGATGCGATTTCAAATTGTCACGCGATAGGTGGGGACAAAGTTGACCATAGTATTACAGCGTCCCACTACGATTAGGTGTCAGTCAAGAGTCACCAAAATGGTACAGTTACATAATTGTTTTTAGTCCAAATTTTGGGCTATTAATTTACTGAATAACCAAGAAATTGAAAATATATTTCAACACGTCCAGTTGGTATTTTCCTTACGTGTCATTTCCCAAAGGTGCCGCGCATAGCTGCGAACCGCCCTCTGTAAAGAGAGAGAAAAGGAAACATAAATATTTGCACCAAGCTCCCTTTTTTACCGGCGTTTTGGTGTTGCCCTGCTTTTCGTGATTTGTGCGCATCGTTTGAAAATATATGCTTTGAAAGTTTGAACACAGCGATGTCGCTCCGCCATATGCCCCGATGCAAAAACCGATTCCCAGCCCTCGTGTTTCATGGCGCATAAAAGACAAAGGCTTGATACGCCTAGAGTGTAGACTTTTCCACTAAATGCTATAGGCTTTAAAATAGTCACTGGTCTAATGGGAACCTTGTTCTGTTCACCAGTGAAAGAATTCCACTTGGTAAAGGAAGAATAGCATTTCGCTTTAATGCTTCCAGTCGAATCATGAGTTTTTTGTTTAAATCGACCGGTTACTTCCGTTGGATTGCTCAAAAGGACGCCAAATCTTCAAAAAGGCTTGTGAGTCACGAGCCAACGTTTTAGGAAAATATTCACATATAATAACATAACATAGTGTTATTCTAAAACGTGACTCAAGCACCCATGCGGGAGATGATTTCACGAGATTTCCCTAGTGATCAGCTAGAATCAGCTATCTTTTGTGTCACCCAAGATATTCAAAAGCATGATCAGCTTCAAATTAGAGCTGGACCCTTTGGTCCTTTGTGGATCACCAGATTATTGGAAAGACACTTCTTTTGAGGTTCCACAAAAATTGACCAGTTTCCACTACTTCAGTCGAAGTGCAGAGAGAAAGACGTTTATATGTCAATCGAATTTTCAAAACGAATAGAGTGAATGTGTAACATTTGTACTTCGCCTAAACAGTAGCGACGATATCGGTTTGCCACGAATCCTAGGACAAACTCCATGGGTTGTCTTGATGAAACACTTGGATAAACCAGAATTTGGCCACATTATCGAATGAAATCAAAAGCAGCTATTCTTATTTCATACATGAGTCGTGATATTTCTTGAAAGATGTACTTCACGAGCAAAGCATTTAATATGGCATTATGCTATGTTGACCTCCCGGTGATTTTGCCTAAGAACAAAATACATATTCCGGTGCTAGCTAGAATGGTACACTTTCATACCGTCAATCAGTGGAGTAAAACTGTCAGAGGAGTTGATCGTAAAAAGGTGCAAAAAAGTTTGTTTTACACCACATGTTCCATCGGACTAAGTCAACGCTGGCACCATAGATCCTTACCATGAACGCCTTAATCCATAGATCATTCTTTCAATACTTCAGCAAATTTAAAATAACGTTCATTGAAGAGTTCTGCAGTCTTTGGCTGACAGAATTTATCTGGCTCTTGATGAAGCAAACGAGGCATATATTGGAAGAAACGTCAAAAGAGTCAACACTTTCTTCCTACTCGGGAATATGTTGGCAGCTGGTGCTGCTCGTGCTCATTTGTAGTGCAAATGCGTTGCGCCTTGGTTTAGCGACTTAGCTCGATTATCGTAGCTGGGCAGATAGATCAACGGCCAGTTTACACCAGTAACCGCAACCCAACTTTAGCAGGGTTAGCTACACCCGCCTCTATAGCCACACTAACTCGAAATCTCGGAGCATAATATTCACAGGTTCCTCGAGGAACGTCGTGAAAGCACGAAATGGGCAACTGACTGCTCAAAAGCAGTAATATATTCACACAAATTAACCGTGCGTACTGAACTAAGCAGATGCTTCAAACGTCTTCAGGTCAGTGTAAGTAGTTCGGTAGTGAATAAAATACTATTCATTTGGCGATACCATCGAACACTGCTGGTTTTCTTCGGCCTAGAATCCGTAAGAATTCCTTGATTTGTGCAATAAAACTGCAAAAATTGTCGTTCATGCAGGAATTTTCACCGACCTTGTGTCACTTTAAACGCCCAACAGCGTTGCAGTCTATTTGCATGGCTATTCCTAATTATTCTTTAAAATTCGTTTTGATAAATAACCATTGGGTAATGTGAATCACAAGTGAACACAGAAGTAAGTCAAATAAAAACTTAAAACTATCTGCAAGCATTTTTCACAGTGCACCGTGTATTTAATTTGCTCGACTGATAAGTGAACCAAGTGCCTATACATGCAACACAATGTGGTCGGTGCACACATGCAGGGAGACGAAGTTGACGCATTCCTTGCATATAAAAAAAATAACGCGCTGATGGATTCTAGACCAAACGAGTTCTAAGTCGGAGAGTGTACGCATTAGTATACCATGCCTACCGGTTAAAAAAACTGGTAAATAAACAAATACCTGGTCACACTGATTCGCTCAGCGAGCATAGGATACAGCTCACCTTTACACGCTATGTTGCCCTCAGTAGTGTTTGTATAGTTCCTTGAACTTGGTTCTTCTCTCGATAAGTTGTTGTAAGACATCGTTGAAGCGTCCACCGAGACATCGTTTTTCGATGCAACCTACACGTATTCGTACAGAAAGACTGAAGGTCAGTTAGGGTTTAGATGTTCTCAAATCTTTTGTATAAACGGGCCAGTTATTGCAGGGACAACACAGTTTGTCAGAAATACAACACACATTAAAACACAACAGGTGTGACACACATCATCATCCAACGAAGCAAAAAATTTTAGTTTATTCCTAATAATTAATCGCGCCGGGGGTAATATGTTCGGACAGACCGATATCAAATATGCAATTAGTATAAACCCCCCTACTATAGGCCACCTGGGTAATCGTATAACTTGAGCGGGCACATAGTCCTTCAGACTCGGGGATAAATCCCGGGGGTCTAAATGCGCACCGCATTGATACATAGAGCATTGTTGTTGGCCAGAGTAATTCTACAGAATGTATATAATTAGTTCCTACAAATTTACACTGAGCTGATTATCTTTGAAATTTCATTCCTTTTTCTATCTTGAAACGCAATATACTACTGATGAAAGCGGAATAGATTTGAAACGCGTGACTTAGTACATGTCCGTTCTTGGGGTGCCAGATTTGCCCCACAACACAGTGAATATCGTAGACAGTGTTCTAGCCTTGTGAGGAGCACAGAACATTAAACTTTCCAAAGCCTGTCGCTCAACTATTGGTTAACAAACGTTGAATAATATTGAGCTATGTCGAGTAGTCCACTGTGTCGTACGTCGCATTCTTGCCGTGTCTCCCCGACTCATCTTTCAGCTTATCTAAGGAGCTGAAGTGCAGGAGTTATACGTGGTAGCTTGACAAATAGGGAAATCCGTAGAGTAGAATCGGTGAGCATTACCTGACGCTCTGCCTTAGGAGAATATTATCCTTATTTTTTGCAACTTACAATCACACCATTTCTGAGTTGCAATCATTTGAAAATCCCCTTATTTTGGGTGATAAATTTATAAACTCTCGAGTCAACCGGTTTATATATGTAAATACATTATAAACACATTTATTATATTATTATTAATTATTACTGTAAGTGATTAAATGTATTTATACTGAGATACTTTCCCAAATTCGATGAGTATACAATCACTGAACCCATTTTTAACAACACAGGTCGACAACAAACGTCCAACCGTTTCAAATTCACAAAGGATCACCACTACCAGGCAGTTAATGACGCATAAAATGTTCTTTCACTACTGTGAACGATAAGTTAGACAGCAGACGACGAAAAACGGATAAAGGATCAAGGTCACAAATTGTAATTTCATTTATTATGTCTTTGGCTGTCTAACTCTTACTTAGAGCTGTTTCTAACACACTAGTAATCACCGTTAAAAACTTTCCTACACGTGGCTTTGTGTGATAAAACAAGATGGTACCAGCCGACACTAGGTTGACAGGCGTGAGTTTCGGTAACAAGCGTTAACCAGTTGATGACGCTGGAAAGTTTTCGGCTGGTAGCTGGTTTTGGGTTAATTTTATGTACCGCTGTCAGTCTTTAATCTATGCTGCCCAAATTTATAGAAAAACAAAGCTGCTTAAACCTCCATCTGCATCGCTACCAACTTTTTCGGTCTGAGTGGCGGTTTACACTGAACCGTAATAGATGTTAGTTGCAAAGGGATCGTCTTTAAACGGAGTTTTCTGAGGATTTCATCATGGTATTTTTGATTTCGCTCCAAGATCACTTATTGCCTATGGCTTCCGTAATAATCGAAATTACACAACTACTAACCTGGTTACAGCAGGAGTAAAACACTAGAAAATCCCCTTCTTGTTGTTTACACATCATCATCACATTCCTCGGGCAGAGCACAGTGAAGAAATACCGCTGTGAGCGGTATTTTGCGATTGTTTTCCGATGTCAAAGGTGTACTTCTTTGAATTTTTAATTAACATCAAAATACATGGGTGTTGTTTGATGTCAGAGAGAGCAAAACAAGCAGATGACCTAACCATTGCTTTAAATCTCATCTTCACATAACTCGTGAAATCTCTTTGTCTAAGTAACTGCGTGGATGCCTAATGTATCGTTAGGTATTTGACAAGCACATTGAGTATCTGTCTCGTTCCTCCTAGTACAGCGCCAACACCTCTGGGTGGTGCTATGTGAAGATCTAGGAACGTCCATAAACGGGTGAATTCGGAATGAGGAAACATTCCGTCTGTGAATTACGCTTTTAGAATTGACGTCCCACCATTGGCCGAACGGACGATAACGAACACCTCAATTTGTCTCAATTTTTGAACTTCAGTTAGGGAAATTCAGAAAACCAAAACCACAGATAAATGACCCATAACCTGTGCAGGCACGGGTAAATTGTGTGTGTTACCGAACAGAGATTTGTGAAGCAGATATCTGTCAACGTTTATTGCAACAACAGGTAGAATCCCAATAACCAGACCATTTGAAATGTCACAGCCCTTGAAGGGTTTGACTCAAGAGCAAAGTGCATTGACACACGTTCAAACCTTTCCAACTTCTAATTATTTTGAAGGGATACAACGATATTTTGCAACCTTTGTTTACTCATCAAGGCTTGGAAGCCTCACAGATATTTTCACATAATGACACAACCGCAACCGACAGTGAATTCAGCTGCTTTCAGTGGTGGTTAACACCTACACATTCACACAATTTCCCAAAGTAAACTTCGGCGATACAAAGTTCACTTGTTCACCTCTTCAGAAGTCCCCAAATTTCGCTAACGATAGTATGAAATTCGCTGACTTTATTCAAAATTAAGTAGCCATTTCACTCTTTGGAGTATGATAAATGCCTTGGAAAATAATAAACGGAATCACTGCTCAGACTGCCAGGATAATTTACAACGCATATGGTCTTTGTTTGAACTCTCTCGCCTGGAACCCTCAACAGCCGGTCACCTGGTTTACAACACTCTATCTGTCTTCCAGGATTTGAAATCAGCACTAACGTATCTAAACTGACAATTTCTTCAGACTCTCAACGAACCGCCGAGAGCTCGAGTAGAGGGCAGTACTCACAACAACCCACTCAACTCGTATGGTGACGAAACGGTTGCAAGCCGATTGCCAAGCTCGGCGAACATATCAACAGCCACCTGATCAACAACCAGTAAGCACAACATTTGTCCAAGTAGTGTAATGATGATGACTAAAGCCTATCCTCACGATCTATCCTGAAACGTGGATTACGGGCGGACTAGGGTGTTTGAATGTTCAGATTATGCCTCACCGATAGCGTCTAGGTGCATGCAATAACGACCTTGAGATTCGTCAAAAAGCTACGCTAAGTCAACTAGTGTTTGGACGAAGCAGTCCAGCTGACCTTGAAAGAGGAAGCTATTTTCCCCAAAAGCGGGCCGCCTGGGCTGAGAAGCTACTCATTCCTTCCGCGCGGATAGTTCAGATGTTCTGACAATAAGTATTCCTCGAAAAGGATCAGCAACTCGTGGTGATAAACTGAATTCAATTAGTAGTTAGTAACTCTGGCACCCCAAAAGACTGAGGTTTTTCGAATTGAACAATTCTACGGTAAAGCATCCATGCTAATACTCCTGTGTATACACTACACAGCTTCATTCTGTGTTTCCGCTTGAGGCGTATTAGTTTTTAGACAAAATATAACAAATGTGCCGAATACAGATTGGTCTGCCTCAGTTTATTTGTGGCACACGAGTACCGACCTAAAGTATAGACACTGGTGAAATTTTGCTGGAGTTGACCTAACGATAAAGCCATGAATTTAAGTGATACACCTTCAAATCTGTCGGAAAATAAAACAAACGCAGCCGAAGGAAACCGGGCTATGAATTGTGGGGCGCTGAAGGCCAGTGGTCTAGACAAATGCTGTTGAAGGACTGTTGTAAAATGTCATTTCAGACAACACAACTGGTATGTTAACAAAACATTTTTGGTGAGATAGTATACCTGTCTCCTGAATCGAAATGCCTCTAAACATTCGTTCATGTTACTAACGTCACTATCATAGGAAAACAAAACAAGGCGCTTAGAAAACCTATCATCTTTCATTTAACACAGTAGGCTCACATTATTCCGAACTGACCACATGGCATTGTTCAAAACTGTGTCACATAGCACCCGGCTAAGCCTTCTGGACTTGAGGTAGACAGTTTAATATAGAGGCATATTTTTGTGTAGTATGGTATAGCATGGTGAATTAGTAAATCAACAGTAAATTAAACTGACTACTAGCGATATCCCCTCAAAGTTTTATGTTTGCGCTGTTAACTATCGGAAGTCTGATTGGATTTCATCAACATAGAGATATCTGTGATTAATGTATGCCTTTTCAATCCGCATTGACTTTTATCCTTCATCGTGTGACAGAAAATGTCATCCCGATTGAGTCACGTGACCATACCTAACGGCAACATAGCATCAGGAATAACGCGATTGAAATGCATGCTTTAATTTATCATAGGATCTCATGTTCAGCTGGATTTGCTAGCTTTCGAGTTCAGCTACTCCCCTATTTTTTCTAATCAGTCAGATATTCCATTTCCCAAATTTTGTGAGTCGTTACAATAAGGAGCAATATTCATGCATGCGTTCGATGCAAAGATAATCTGGACATTCTTGTTGCTATTACCATGAACATTTTAGCCAGAACACTGTTATAATACCTCATTCAAATGATCTTAGTCTCGAAAGACTTTTTTACAACCTCAAAAATTCTGAAGGAAGCCAACGTTGATGAAAACCTACTCCTTTAGAACTTATCATGGTCAGGTTCTTTGGTGGTACAATGTCGAACACTCAAGTCAATCACATTAGGCATAGTTAGAGTAGCGCATAAACAAACGTAAAAATTTTGCAATTCAGCTTGCAAACCAAAGGCGAAAATCTCAAGAACGACCCTGACTCTGTCGAACCAACAAAGCCTCAACTCAGATTAGTAAACGACGTGTCATATACATTACAATGGTTAGAAAGACGGAACAAAACATATCTAGTAATAGATTATTTATTGGCTGGCGATAGAGGAGGCTTTTTTAATCAGGAACAGAGGAAAGGTCGTTGC